ATCCATAATAGCACAAGCCAAACAGAGACATGCCAGGGAATTCCTGGAGGCCTGGCATTTCAACCGGAACTCCATCAACAAACATATTGAACTGGACCCCATATACAAATCACTGAAAAACAGAACCAGAAGTGATGCCAACCACCCCAGCAAACCAAGACCTATAACAGAACACCTATGCTTCACCGGGGGCACACTGACGATGTTACCAAGCAGGGTGATGAAACGTCTGCAATGAAACACACCGGCTCAGCGAGCAAGTCTACAACCTCATCCACAACCCGAGCTACAAATCTTCTCAAAAACTTTGAGACTAACAACTCTCTGAGATAAAAGCTGTCTCCTCATCTCAGTCTTAAATGGATGATCTCAGTGCTTTTAAACAGCATCTAATTGTCCTAGATTCCCCAGCTAAGGAAACATCCTTTTGGTATCCACCTTGCCATGTCCCTCAGGATTTTAGTGTCTCACAAAGATCACCTCTCATTCTTATAAAGTCCAGTGGGTACTGACCTAAACTATCCAGCATTTGTTGCTATGATAAACACCGTCCTAGTCAAGTGAACCTCCTATGAACAGCTTCTGCTGAAGCTGTATTTTTTTCTGAAGTATAGAGACTGAAATTAGACGCAGTGCTCCAAATGCAGTCAAACTGAGGCCCTATATAGCTGTGGTAATACTTCCCTACTTTTGCATTCTATTCCATTTCAATAAGCGCCAACATTTTCTTTCATAATCACTTGCTGTAGTTGCGTAACAACTTTGTGATTCATGTATCAGGATACCCAGGCTCCTCTGGATCACAGAATTCTCTTGCTCCATTCCAATAATGTACTGTGTTTCTATTCTTATAGCCAAAGTGAACATGTTCACGTTCTCCTACATACAACTCCATCTGCAAATTTTAGCCTTAAATTAACTATGTCCTTGTGTAGACTCTTTATCTCGTCTTGACACTGTCCTTTCTGACCTTTCGTTTTGTAATGAGTAAATTAATCTAATGTACATACAGCCCTTTATCCAAATCATGGACATAGATTGTAAACAGTTAAAATACCAGCATTGATCCCTATGGCACTTCATTAGTTACAGTTTGCCACGCCAAACATGACCCATTTATCTAGACTATTTTCCTTTTATAATATTTACAATCCCCTATCCTCTACTTCATTACCCTCTACACCCTAAGCTGTTATTTTGTGAGGTAATTTTTGATGTCATACCGACATCGAATGCTTTTGGAAATCTAAGTATCCTGCAGTAGATCTCATGGCACTGCCCCTGCCTCTGGGTCAAGAGACTGCATTCAAGTCCCACCTGCTCCAGAGCTGTGTAATAACATCTCTGAACAGGTTGATTAGAAAATATCCAGCACAATAGAGGTTCACCGATAGTCACCTTCCATGTTGCTTCCTCAAAGAATTCGAATAAGTTAGGCAAACATGATTTCCATTTCATGAGACATGTTGACCATACCCTCTTCCCCTCTGCCTCTCCACCTTCCTCTCTCTCTCTCTCTCTCTCTGTCTCTCTCTCTCTCTTCTCCATCCCCCACCCACTCCCCCTGAGTCTCTGAGTTGGAGGTGGTTTCACTCATTCTCTGTGTCCTGTCCCCCTGTAGGTTTTGTTTTGAGTTGCACTGGTATTCTGGCTGTCCGTTGGGCACTCTCCCAGTCAGGTGCCCGGACCTGTGCCAGGACACCAAGTGCCCGGGATTTCCAAATGCGGAGTGTCGTGTGCATCGCTGTGGCGCCTGTTTCAGCGAGTGGTATGACCAAGGGAGCAGCCGCCATGTCATGTGTCACGGTTGGTTATTGGTGACTCCCAGTCAGTCTGTGTCAGATCGATGTGAGAGTTTCCTTTGTAGCTGTAAGGCCGAGGTGGGGGCAGTGGGATCAGGGTGGAGGGGGCTTCATGGGGTCTCAATGGGGGATTGGGAATGGGGAGGGAGCAGGGTGACCCGTGTAACCGAGCGATATCCCAGCCTTCGATCGATGTGAATCATTGCACAGGGAGAAAGAGCTGTTCAAAATGATTCGACCTCAGTAAACAGTGAGAGCTTCAGTAGGGAATCTGTCTGTTCCAGTCGGAGTGATAGATATGGAAATGTTTCATACCAGCGAGGGTATGATTGGTTTGAGTCCAGTATCAGGGTAGCTGAAAGTCTCTTTTACAGATGGATTGGACCCAAACTCTTCCAGGTGCTGCTCCCCATCCCTTGTTCTCGTTCCCCATTCCCTCGTTCCCCGCCATTCCATCTCTACTCAATCAACACCATCCTCATTTCTGTTCTGTCTTGCTTTCCATTGCGTGTCCGAACACCTTTCTGGATTCCTGCGCTCCCAGTTGTTCCTGCGCTCCCGCTGATTCCCATGCTCCTGGTCGTTCCCGCGATTCCGCTGATTCCTGCGCTCTCTGATTCTCCCTTGCCTTTGGTAGCCAAGGCTAAAGTGTTACAGCTGGGAGATGATGCTGGAACCTTGGTTAGGCCATTAGGCCACAGCGAGAGTATTATGTGCATTTCTGGAATCCACATTATCAGAGGGATGTGATGATAGCACTGGAGAGGGTGTAAGCGAATTTACCAGGATGTTGCCACAATGGAGTGCTTTAGTTACGAAGGGAGATGGACAGACTGGTTGTTTTCCTTGGAGCAGAGGAGGTTGAGAGGGGATGCGATTGATGTGTATAAAGGTATAAGCAGCATAGATCAGGTGGACATCGTGAAATATTTTCCGCTTGATGAAGAGATCAATATCCGGGGTATAGATGTAAGGTTAGGGTAGCAGGTTTAGAGTGGATGTGGGGAAAAACCTTTTCCCCCAGAGGGAGTGGGGAAATCTGCAGCTGACGGATGGTAGAGACAGAAACTCTGGCCACAATGAAGAAAAATTTAGAGGGACAGTTTATCGAACCGGGCTCTGGGCAGTCAGTGGGGCAGGAGCAAAGTCTTTGGTTCTCTGAGTGTTTCTCCTGAGTATAAATTCAGTCCAGAGTCACAATCTCTCTCTTTTCCACTGTGAGGAGTTGTCCAGGTGAACAGCCAGCAACACATCATGACTCATGTATTGTTCCTGGTCCATCTCTCTCCCCACCACATCCCCCCCCCCCCCCACCCCCCAACCCAACCTCCGGCCTTCACCCCCACCCCAGCCGTTCCCCCAACCCCCAGGAAACTGAATTTATGAAAAGAAGTTCCCAGAACAAAGGAGGGAAGAGGATGTGGGATATTAGGAAGATTTGGGAGTGGTAGAAGGTGAAGTGGTGAAAGGATTAAACAAGCAATTTAATTCAATCCAAAAAGTAAAAGAGGTGAACACAGAGGAAGGGGCTTCAGTGAGGGATGTATAACTCTGAATATGACAGTGGGATTGGTAGTACAGGGAAGTGAGAGTAACAAATGTTTATTCCCAGTGATTGTGAGGGTGGATGGATATGGGATATGGGATATGGTTGTGGAGAGAGCATGTGGATAGGGAAGAGTGTGGGTTTGGCTTGGATCCTGGTTTGAGACTGTGTGAACCGGAATGCAGCATTCCCATTGAACTGGATTATCTCTCCCTGCTCTGAATTCCCACTGTTTATTCTGGGATTTCAATCCTCATTTTAAGGAGCAGCAGGGTGGGGTTTGGAACCAGGAATGCATTGTATTGTTCAGACCTGGGCCACTCAGTTTGCAAATAATAAATTAGAACGTATATTTTCGCCCTGTTAAAGGTTGTAGCTACAAAGGACAGACTTTCCACAATGGAGATTCGTTCATCGTTGATACCTGTACATCTTGTGTGTGTTTGGTAAGTAGCCATAGCAGAAAGTGGTGAGGGGTAGGTGGGGAGTGACAGAGTGTCAGCATCTGTCAGGGGACAATGGGGGTGTGGAGGTGGGGGCGGTGGGATGGTGGGGAAACTGTGTCAGACCTTCAGCTGAGGGGGGACGTTGGAGGGAGAGTGTCAGCACCTTCGGTGGGAGGGCAGGGGGAGAGAGAGAGAGAGAGAGAGTGTGTGTCAGGGCCTTCGGGGCAGGGGGAGAGAGAGAAAGTCAGCACCTTCAGGGGATGGGGTGTGGAACAGTAGAACAGGTTGATTGGGTGGATTGATTGCGGGAGGGTCGGACTTTCGGAGAGCCTTGTTTCTGAATGTGGTTGCTGATCAGATGCTTGCTTTTCTGTTGAAGAACGGTGCTGTGTCCTGCGCACCAGTGCAGTGCCAGGCTCTAAGCTGTAAAGACTCTGTGAGGAGACCGGGATCCTGCTGCCCCGAATGCCCCCAAGGTAAGTGGGTGTTTGTTCTCTCCATTCCTGTCTTGCTGTTCCAACCTGGATATGTAGAGGAATAGTGGGACCACCAACTGTCACTTGGCTGGATTACTGGCTTGTGATGCAGGGTGAGGCACACGTTGAAATACTGGCTCAGGTCACCATGATGGTCCCACCGTCTCAATCTCACCCCTCTCCTGAGGCATGGTGACCTTCAGGTTAAACTACCTGAAGTCTTCTCTCTCTCTCGAATGAGTTGACTTGATTTGATTTATTCCTGTCATGTGTACTGAGGTACAGTGAAAAGTGTTGTCTTATGTGCTTTACAGGCAAATGCATCAGGGTTACGAGAACAGAGTGCAGCATTCAGTGTTACAGCTTCCGAGAAGGTTCAGAGAGAGAGCAGCATGAACATAAAAGAGGCCTATTCAAAAGTCTGATAACAGCGGGGAAGAAACTGTTCTTGAACCTATTCGTACATGTTTTCAAACGTTTATATCTTCTGCCCAATAACAGTAGGTGGAAGACCGTATAATTGGGGTGGGAGGGCTCTTTGATTATGTTGGTTGCTTTCCTGATGCAGCAGGACTTATAGATGAAGTCAGTGGATGGGAGGTTTGTTTGTGTGTGTGATGGACTAGGCTCTGTTCATGACTCTCTGTAGTTTATTTCGTTCTTGGGAAGAGTAGTTGCCAAACCACACTGTGATGCATCCAGATAGGATGTTTTTTATGGTGCATCTACAAAAATTTGTAAAAGTCTTTATGGACACGCCAAATTTCCCTAGCCTCCTGAGGAAGTAGAGGCATTGCTGAGCTTTCTTGACTGTAGTGTCAATGTGGGTGAACCATGACAGATTGGTGGTGATCGTCACTCCCAGGAACTTGATGCTCTCAGCAATCTCTACCTCAGCACCATTGATATAGATAGGGATGTGCCCTCTATTCTGCTTCCTGAAGTCAATGAGCAGCTTCTTTGTTTTGCTGATGTTGATGGAGAATTTCCTGTACTCTGCCTTATTGTTGTTTGGGATCTGACCCGCAGCGGTGGTATGGTCAGCAAACTTGTAAATGGATTGGGCAGAATTTGGCCACACAGTTGTGAGTTTATAAGCAGTTAGGCCTGAGGCTGAGTACATAGCCTTGTGGGGCACCAGTGATGAGGATTATGGTGGGGGAGGTGTTGTCACCTATTCCTACTGATTGTGGCCTATGGATCAGGACGTCGAGGATCCAGTTACAGACAGGGTGCCATGACCTGGGTCTCAGTTTGGAGATTAGTTTGGTTCGAATTATTGTGTCGAAGGCAGAGCTGTGGTCAATAATTAGGAGCCTGATGTAAGTATCCTTGTTGGGCAGATGTTCCAGGGATGAGTGTAGGACCAGAGAGATGACGTTTGCTATGGACCTGTTGTGCCAGTATGCGAATTGCAAAGGATCAAGGCAGTCTGGGAGGCTGGAGTTGATGTGAACCATGACTAACCTCCTGAAGCACTTCATAATTATGGAGGTCAGAGCCACTGGACAGTAGTCACTGGGGCACGCTACATGATTTTTCTTTGGTTCTGGGATGCAGGTGGGGACTTCGGATTGTAGTAAGGAGAGGTTGAAAATGTCATCGAATATTCCCACCAGTTGGTCCGCACAGGATGTGAGTGCATAGCTGGAGACTCCATCTGGGCCATTTGCCTCCCGTGGGTTCACTCTCAAGAAGGTCAATCTGCAGCGGTGACCAAGGGAGCAGGTGTATCCGAGGCTGTTGGGACAGGTGACACTGTTTCACTGACCTTCTGCTCAAAGCAAGCGTAGAATATATTGAGCTCTTCGGGTAGGGACTACTGTAGCCCACAATTCTGTTCAACTTAGCTTTGTAGCCCGTTTTGTTTTGTAAGCCTTGGCACAAACAGCAGGTGTCCATGTGGTTGGTCTGGGTCTCGAGCTTTGGTATTGCCTTTTGGTGCATCTGCTGGCCTTCTAAAGGTTGTACCTGGATTTCCTGTCTAGGTCAGGGTTGGCCGACTTGAACAACTCAGACCTGGACTTCAGTAGGGACAGGATCTCCCAGCTCACCCATGGTTTCTGGTTGGGGAATGTTTGGATTAACTTCTTCGGCACGCAGTCTTCTGCACAGTGACTAATGAAGTCTGTGACAGTATTGGTATACTTGTTTAGGTTGGCTGCTGAGTTATTGAATATGGACCAGTCCACTGATTCTAAGCAGCCCCACAGAAGCTCTTCTACTTCCTCAGGCCAACGCTGTACCAAGGTCTGTGCTGGGTCCTCAGGCTTCAATTTCTGCTTCTATACTGGGAGGAGGAGCACAGCGCTGTGATCTGGTTTTCCAAAATGTGGACGGGGTGAGTGGGGTGGTAGGCATCTTTTATGGTTGTGTAGCAATGGTCGAGGATGTTGGGAATCCTGGTGGGACAGTGGACAAGTTTGGTGGAATTTGGTAGCACATTCTTGAGGTTGGCCTGATTGAAGTCACCGGCTCCAATGTACAAAGCCTTGGAATTCCGTCTCAAGACTGTTTGTAGCCTTGTATACTTCACCCAATGCACTCTTCACTTCCGCTTGGGGTGGTATATAGACTGCTGTCAGGACGGCGAAGTGAACTCACCCTGCAGCTGGTAGGGATGGACCTTCACTGTAAGATATATTAAGGAGCAGTAGTTCACCAGGATCGCCATGCCTGAGCACCAGGAGGTGTTGATTAGGAGGCAGACACAACTGCCCCTTGTCTCACCCAAGGACGCCATGTGGAACATATGATTTATAGAGAAACCCTCAGGTTGTAAGGTACAGTCAACTGTAGCAGGACTGAGCCGTATCTCTGTAAAACAGAGCACAGAGCAGTCTCACAGTTCCCTTTAGAAGGTAGGTCTAGCTTTAAGTTCATTCATTTTGTTCTCGATGGCTTGGACGTTGGCCAGGAGTGTGCTGGGGAGGGCAGACTTGAAATTGCATTGTTTCAGTCTCACGTGAAGTCCGGTGCATCTCCCAAGTTTCCTGGGTAGGTGGTTGCTCCTAGTCGATCCCAGACAACGGTGAGTGAAGTCTGCTGCTCCTAGAGGTAAGTGAGTGTTCCTGATGGGGGCCTGAGCAACAGTCATAGCCCTGAATGTTCTGGGGGGAGGGGGGATGCGGTCTTGCAATCAATCTAGTTAGGCCTCCTTGATGTTGGGTCACCACGGGGTCAGGACTTGTTCCCACTCTGGTCAGGTCTCCGTTCCGGGTTAGTGTGAGGTCAGGGAGGTCAGGCCTTGAAGGCCTGCATTCTCTCTGGGCTTGCAGTTCCGTGTTGGCAAAGGAGGTGGGTGCTCCCGAAAGGGTCCTGGGCACTAGTCGTGGCCTTGAGTGATCCGGGTAATCCATCTAACCCAGCCTCCTCAATGTCGGATCACTGTGTGGTCAGGTCTCATTCCCACGCTTGTCAAACCTCTTTGTCAGTAGTAAGGCCTCATCGATTGGAGGATCCCCAGACCTGAAAGTTGGTTTAATAGAACATTGTTAGTAATTTTGACAGACTTAGATTTGAGTTTTAAAATAACAGAATGATTATAAGATATGCAAGAATAAGATCTGATGTGAACAGCTCAAGGGGGAGTCACCACACTTTGGCGCCATTTTGTTTTTTTTAATAGGAGACCTATCCTCTGGGCCTATGAAGACTTTTATTCCTGGTAGATGTGCCTGTGGATTGTAGATGGTGAACAGGCCTCGTGGAGTCAGGAAGTGAACTACTCACCAGAGAATTCTGAGCCTCTGACCCACTGCTGCATCAGTTGAACTTCTTGTCAATTTTAACCACCAGAATGTTGATAGTGGGGTCTCAGTGATGGTAATGGCATTGACCATCGAGGAGATGGTTATAGTCTCTCTTGTTGGAGATGGTCATGGTCTGTGGTGTAAATGTTACTGCCACTCATCAGCCTGAGCTTGTATATTCAGCTCTTACTGAAGTTTATCGACTGCTATGGTATCTGAGGAGCCATGAATGGAGCTGAACATTGTGCAATCATCAGCAGACATCCCCAGTTCTGACCTTACGGAGGGAAGGTCATTGATTAAGCAACTGAAGATGGTTGAGCCAGCGACACTACTCTGGGATCTCCTGCAGAGATGTCTTGGAGCTGAGATAACTGACCTCCAGCAACCACAACCATCTTCCTACATGCCAGATATGAATCCAACCACCGGAGAGTTTGTCCCCCAATACGGATTGATTCCAGTTTTGCCAGGGCTACTTGATGCCACACTTGGTCAAATGCAGCCTTGATGTCAAGGGCTGTCACTCTCACCTCACCTCTGGAATTAAGCTGTTTTGTCCATATTTGAACCAAGGCTGTAATGAGATCAGGAGCTGAGTGACCCTGGCGGAATCCAAATTGGGCGTCGCTGAACAGGTTATTGCTGAGCAGGTGCTGCTTGGTAGCAGTGTTGATGACACTTTCCAACATTTATCATCTAAAGTAGACAATTGGCCAGGTTGGATTTGTCCTACTTTTTATATACAGGACATATCTGGGCAATTTTCCACATTGTCGGGTAGGTACCAGTGTTGTAACTGTACTGGAACAGCTTGGCCAGGGGTGTATCTAGTTCTGGAGCACAAGTCTTCAGTATTATTGCTGGAATATTGCCAGGGCCCATGGCCTTTGCAGTATCCAGTATCTCCAACAGTGTCTTGCTATCACATGGAGGAAATCAAAGTGGCCGAAGACTGACATCTGTAATGCTGGGAACCACTGAAAGAGACTGAGATAGATCATCTACTTGGAATTTCTGGCTGAAGAAAGCTGTGAATGCTTCAGCTTTATCTTTGGCACCGATGTGCTGGTCTCGTTCATCATTGAGGATGGGGATATTTGTGAAGCTGCATCCTCCAATGAGTTCTGAGGAAGGGTTTTCTTCTTCACAGATGCTGCCAGACCTGCTGAGCTTTTCCAGCAACTCTGTTTTTGTTCCTCCAATAAGTTGTTTAATTGTCCACCACCATTCACAACTGGATGTGGCAGGACTGCAGAGCTTAGATCTGATCCATTGATTGTGGGATTGCTTAGCTGTGTCAGTTGCATACTGCTTCCACTGTTTGGTGTGCTGTCATGTGTTTCAGTAGGTTGCAACCTTGATATTTTAGATTTGCTGGTATATCAGGTTGTGGGTCTGTGTCCCTTATAAATCCACAAACTTCATTCCCTGTCAGGACCTCTAGTTTTGTCTAAACCGGAGCCTTTGTACCATCAATGTTCTGTGTGACTAACACATCCTTATCATCACCAAAACTGCTACCTTCACATCTGTATCATCGCTCCATTTCTTCCCTCGGACAGTCTACTGCTAAACCACTCATCTGTTTCTTTGTTAGCTCTGGGCCTTACTGTCCCAATGCCCTCCTGGCTGGATGTACAGCTTCCACCCATCAGGAGTTCCAGCTGTTTCAATCCTGCCCAAATCCAAACTGGGATCAAGTCCCATTTACTTGTTAACTCTGTGCTAGCTGACTTACTCAACCAGCAGTCCATTCACCGACACCTCCATCATTGTACTGCATCCGTCCATCAACTCTATATTTGTTCGATTCTTGCACAGTCCTTCCTCTTCCTGAACTGCCACTTACCCATCCTTTCATCAATCCCTTCTTTCTCATTCCTTCCTTACTGCTTTGATGATCTCCTTCCCTGAACAGTTAACTTTATACTCACTTTGGCACAGTTTCCTAACTTCGTGACCTGTTGCTGATTGGAATATTTGCCTGTATCAGTCACAGAGTTGGACGTTCCTGCTGTCAGCTGAATAATGAGGGGGTGGGGTACTGATTGGAAACATGCACTTTATGAGCTCCCCAATGCTGGCATGGACAAACTCCACCAGGCAGCTAGGGTGTCTTGTACTTGGCCAAGACATTCTGTAGATGTCACAGAAAAATAAATCTCCAGTTTGAACCAGAGTCCCACCGAAACAGCAATTCACCATCTTTCCTATCAGTCTATGTGAGATTGCACACCAGGGACAGATTTGTTCCTGGGAGAATGGGGGAGCGAGTGACCCAAT